CCCCCCCCTGGTTTCACCTCCTCAGCATCTCAGAGCTGATGGGAGTAGGTGCCATTCAGGGAACAGATCCAGACCTCTTCCTAACAAACTGGACCATTAGTGAGTTCTGGTCCTTTGAATCGACTGCGGCCCGCTCACCACGCTGAAAGCAGCTCGCTCACTAAAAGTCTCGCTCCACATTGCATCGATCTGACGTCCCCCCCCGAAGCTTCGACATGTTGTTCCAATAAAGCAAATCACTCAGAAGAGTGAAGTGAACCTTTTATGATTTAACGGCTTCCTTCTTTCCTTTTGGTTCCTGCAGATTTTTGGACGAATCCCAGAGAATTTGTTCCACTGATTTAGTATCAGAGCAACTCGTGTTGAAGCTGGTGGATCTAATTAACACTTAATACTGCTTGTTTGGGTTAAATATCAGAATTTAATATGTGTGATACTTTCAAATGTTTATCAATTTTAAAACAAAATGCTGTTCACTTAGGGATCATTAGGTTTTAAACATGAAGCWGCTCAGATTAGAAGAAAAGTCTAATGATTTACTGAAAAAAAGGTTTATTTCCAAAAGAACCCAGCAGTTTTTAGGGTGGACTAATTAACAACTGGTTTTAGATTGTGCTATGTGCACCAAGAAATGTGTTGTTTTGTTGTTTATTGATAAAAACACAATATACCAACAATATGACAAGGGTTGGAGGATATTTATTTTCATTTAAAACTTTAAAATGCATCACAGTGGTTATAAATAAATGTAAAATAGTGTAATTGGTTGCCCAAAGTCCTAAAAAACATTGTTTTAGAAAGTTTGTGAGTTAAAAGCAGCAATAATTGAAAGAACGAGTCTCTGCAACTTTTATGTTTTTGGGTTTAAAGCTGAAAAAAATCAACAGTTTTAAGTCGAAACGAAGCTACAAATTAATCTCATGGATGTTGAAATTTTTTCCATCTATTCTTAAAAATAACTTTACAGTGAACAAAAACATTCAGACATCTTGTAAAACCTTAAAGAAAAGAAGAATTATTACACTATAAAGATGTAAAACATTGTCGTTACAAACTAATGTGTCTTTTTGATTAGATTAGAAATTCACACCAACCTGTCGGTGTTCAGGTGTAAAGTACAAATACTTTGTTACAGTACTTCAGTATAAGTTTTGGTTATCTGTACTTTAGTAATTATTTTACATTTCCACATAAATGCATATACTGTATTTACATCGTAAAAACCCATGTCTAGTTCTATTTGTGCTCGGATTGTCTTGTCAGCAGAATTTTATAGTAACTAAGTACATATACTTTGTTACAG